TTCCAGGGAAGATACCGCATCTGCCTGAGGAATAGATAGGGCAAGTGAGAATGATACAAGGAAGCATGTGGAAACAAGCGTAACAACACACGTGCCGATACATGCACTACTCTGTCAAAAGCAAAAGTATCCCATATCAGCAGGGTCGAACGTACTCTAGATTTTATGGACTTGTTTTGACCCTCAAATTTTTCAGTCGGCCTTATACTCTGGAGGAAACCAGAAAACCCTCCAGCCCAGTTCAAGAATAAGCCTGTGGAAAGTTACTTCTTCAAAAGCAAAAGTATCCCATATCATCTCTTCTCATTTTTCTTCTCTTTATCCTTCATGCTGCCTGCAAGATAGGGAGAATGTGAACAATCAGCCGGAGCTCTGATTGCTTACCTTGTATGTCACCTCTTTCAGCAGATCCCCTAGCTCGGCGACTTGGGGGACTCCTACTACATGGTTTGTATCGCGCTTGACCAAGCCTGAAACTACAAGTAAGCTTCAAGTGAAATTGATACATTACCTTGTGCATCTCCACCAGTTACAGATACCACCCCTGGATGGAGGAATAGTACTTCCAGAAAAGATGCCACACCTACCTATGAGACAGATAAGGCAAGTCAAGACGATACCACACTCCGGTACTTAGAAGTTTCGTGGTTACGAGATCATTCTCCCACAATATTTCCTAATGTCATTTGTACTAAATCATTCACTTGTACTCACTAAAGGAGAGCTTGAACCTATGTACTTGTGTAAACCCTTCACAATTAATGAGAACTCTTCTATTCCGTGGACGTAGCCAATATGGGTGAACCACGTACATCTTGTATTTGCTTTCCTATCTCTATCCATTTATATACTTATCCACACTAATGACCAGAGCAATCTAGCGAAGATCACAAAAAGTGACCGGTTTCGCTACCTAGGATCTATCTTGCAAGAGAACGGAGAATTAGATGGAGATCTCAACCATAGAATACAAGCTGGATGGATGAAGTGTAAGAGTGCATCCGGGGTGTTGTGTGACCGTCGTAGACCACTGAAGCTCAAGGGAAAATTTTATAGGACAGCAATAAGGCCAGCGATGTTGTATGGCATAGAATGTTGGGCGGTGAAGCATCAACACGTACACAAAATGGGTGTAGCGGAGATGAGGATGCTTCGTGGGATGTATGGGCACACGAGAAAGGATAAGATTGGGAATGAGGATATCCGAGGTAAAGTAGGAGTAGCCAAAATTGAAGGAAATATGAGAGAAAATCGGTTCCGGTGGTTTGGACATGTGCAAAGAAGGCCTACTGACGCTCCGGTTCGAAAATGTGACTACGGGACAGAGGTTCAGGGCCGAAGGGGTAGAGGAAGACCTAGGAAAACTTTGGAAGAGACCCTAAGAAAAGACTTGAGTACTTAGATCTAACGGAGGACATGACACAAAACCGAGCGCAATGGCGTTCTAGGATTCATATAGCCGACCCCACTTAGTGGGAAAAGGCTTTGTTGTTGTTGTTGTTGTTGTTGTTGTTGTTAAAGGCCAAATCTTGTACTCTAAACACTAATTTGTCGTAATTTTTTTCTTCAATTTTTGCCTTGAAAATTATTAGTAGGATTATCAGTTCTAACAAAATTATCCAGTACACACAAAACTGAGACATGCATATTAACATGCTAAAGTAATTGGAAATACCTTATCAACAACTATAACAAAATTATCCAGTGCATAGTATACAAACCTAAATAAGAGCAGAAAAAACTGCAAAAAGCTGTTGCAGTGAGAACTGAAAGTATGGCAAGCCACCCAACTGAGCAATCGCTGGGCGTCCACCGTGAAACGACGGGAAATGTAGCAAGAAATTCATACAACTTAGACTGCGGCATTATCCGGAAATATTCTCTGGCCAAACCGCATAACATATTTTGCTGCTAGACCGTGAACTAGAACCATTGATTTGATAGAATCGTGTTACAATATCTGACACGAGATCATTACTCGTTACATACGCAAACGTAACGTGAATTGTTTACATTATCATACAACCTATTACCTATAGAATACACAATACAACATTCATATTCAGACTCAAACTTATCAGCTGGTGTTTATTGATCCTATACTGCTGTTCTATTTAACCGAAAGCTGTGTGTTTCCATGCTTGAGATTAACTTCTGAAACACTTGTGGGCAGTTTCGACCATCCCACGAATTCCTTCCCGCTCATCCTCCTACGCATGACCAATGAAATACTCAGCAGCAAACAGGCGGCAGCAACCAAAGGAACCGCCGCACCAACATTTCCTTTCGGCCAGTTCCTCAGAACCCACCCGGCACAGTGCTTGCCGTCAAGACTCCCCACGGAGTTATTCAACCTCATGATCTCAATCCCATTCAAAATCCCATCAATTGCATAAGGCATACTCATATTCGAAGGTCCTGCACTTACGGACAATACACCCGATTCCTCTCCATCAACCACGAAATCCGCATAGAACGGAGAAGCCAGCATATAATTCGTTGCCATAGACAAATCCAAATTCTCATATGCCAATTTCCCATTCACATAAACATTGAAATACAGCAATCCGATCGAAATGCTAGCAATGTCACAAAAATGCAACCGAACAAGATATTTATATCCTCCAACAGCAGGAAAAACCCATGTCATATTGACATTCGGAATCGAAGCATTCGAACTATGAATCAGCCGGGCAGTATTATACACATTATCAGGACCAACTTCCCTGCTAGCCCCTCCATCCTGATAATTAATCCGACCACCAAAATACACCCTTTCCGACCCGGAATCCGATTCCAAATACTCATCATCAGTAACCCAAGTCCTCCACAGAGAATCATTAAACGGCGTCACTTTCGAACCTCCCACATTAACCCTATACACAACCTGAAGCGCTTGCTTAATTAACCCGTTAAAATTCTCAGCTTTCTCATCACTCACAAACTTTGCTGTATCAGCAACAAGATCCTTAGGCGCAGAAATCACCTCAATCGCATTCACAAACGCAAAGTTCGATTTTTTTGCAGGAACAAATTCAATTACAAGCTTTTTGGTATCGACCCAGATCAAAAACTCCATAACCATGGGGATTTTTGCAGCTCTAAAGTCGGTCAAAGCCACAAACCCATTGACCAAAACATGAAATTGAGCATCATTCCAATCCAATTTCAAAGAATTAATGGTCTGGAAATGGAGGCGTACCATGTGGGTCCCCGCGTCGCGGATCTGGAACTCGTACTTGGACGGCCGCCTGAAAGCCCTGGCGGTGCTGTAGATTTGGGGCGAATTGGGAACTGGGTTTTCATTTCTGAGAGAGATGGAGCGAGTTGAGGAGGACAGGGAGGAGTCGGGCTTGGACGAGTCGGGAACGAAGCGGCGGTTGTCGACGGTGGATTCCGCGGTGGAGCCGCAGTCGACGAGGTAGTTGTCTATTGGGGAGAAGGAGGAGCGAGAGAGGGCGGAAATGGTAGAGAGAGAAAGTAGGGAGAGAGAGAAGAGGAGCTTTCTGTACGGAAACTCCATGAGAGGGGAAGTCTGCAGAATTCAGGAATGGTGGAAGAGGAAGAACGAGACCTTAGTTTCGGGTGTGTGTGTTTTGAGGGGTGGGAAAGTCCGAGTCGTCGGCGGGACCCACGCGCTCGGGGCTGATTAGCTGGACGTTTTGGGTGGACTTGTCCACGTCGGATTAATAAGTGGTGCGGCACAACTGTGTTCTGCGTGTATGTGACCACTTTTGTCGACATCATTGATCAAACCTTCCTGGAATTTACAGGTTGTAAATTTAGATGGTCGACTAACCTTGTTTCTAATAGCCAAATTATACGTGCAACTTTCTCAAACAATAGAGAGAAATATTTTAGTTTTAAAATTGAATTCTACTATACAACGATGTAGTCGTCAAAATAATCAAAGTCTTGTGGACCACGCATATAACCAAAACAAAGATTTGGCTCATGTTGTCACTTTAGATATCGATTTGGAGTTGTAAGGCATGGAAGAAAGTTGAATTAATTGCGTCGAGTATGGGTTTGGACAGTATGAAACCATGGGTTAACACACACAACTAAAACAAAGAATTGGCTCATGTTGTCGCTTTTGATATTGATTTGGAGTTGCAAGGTGTGAAAAAAAGTTGAATTAATTACGTCAAATTTGGATTTAGACAGTACGAAAATATAGATAGCCGGTATGGTGCTATGACTCTCTTCAGGAATCGGGAGAATGTGACGGGGTCACTGTTTTGTACATTTAGGTTGGTTAATTACTACAAACTGATTAGAAGTTTGCTAATTTTGGATTTTACTTCTTTAGATAATGCTGTTAAACTCCATGAGCATCATACTCCATGGAATTATAATTTGAGTGTTTTTGTGGAAACGAATTTGATTGTGGCAATGAATCTAAAATGTGGAAATGATTCTTTTGATCGTGAAGTAATCGCTCACTTTGCCATACTTGTTTAGACTACAGCACAAACTTAGGTCAGCACCTTCTTTGTCTTTGAGTATGTAAGGGTTTTAGATAACTAAATGGTTTTCCTCCTAGAACAAGAAAAATTATTTATCCGAAATGAACACAATTATAATTTCCACCCCCATACATAACCACAACTTACAAATTTATAATTTACAACAACAAAAAAACCCAAAATTTACATTTTATATCCATCTTGACAACTTACCTGCAACCCTCTTAAGGTCCTCATTTGAGAACCTGTTAGGACCAAATGCATATTAGCCATAAGATTATATTGTCAAATAATTAAGTCTTTAAATCCAAACTAATATAATCTTATAACTAATGGGCATCACATGTCCTCAAAATAAAGGCCTTAAGACACCAGGTCTGTAGTTGCAACATGCATGAATGATAATTTAATATGAAGGTATAATTGAATGTAAATTCCACCTTTATTTTTTTATTTATAATAAACTACATTTTCTAATCAGCATAAATATTCGAATACAAGGGCATGTATGGTAACTAAATTTTCTCTCTCTTTTTTTTTTTTTTTGTATAGTAAAATTGAACAAAATTGTGACTCGGGAAGGCTCTTAAAAATCATATAAACTTTACCTCAGTTCAACCGCTTCATCTTCATTGCATGCTCCTACCTCAATGGCCATGGTACCTTGCTTCTTTTTACTTGGCAAGATTCTGCAACAGTTTCTCCTTGGAGACTGTTCAAATTACAAGAACATACATTCTTTAGTAATGGGTGCCAACTAACTGAATGAAATAAATTAGATGTGAAGAAAAACTTAACCGCACATCAATCAACGCCTCGCGCGTTTTGTGCTGAAACACTAACATTAATATTTTCTTTAGATTGATTACCTTGTCCCATATATGCGGATCATATGCTTTGTAGACTTGTACTCTGTCAATGCGAGAGGGATTTGCCATCTTCCAGTTGCATTGAGGATTTGGCGCTTGATCACGAACATATTCAGTTGCTGTATGATTTGTATTTTTGTTGTACACAGCATTCGTCAAGTAATACACAAATGGTTTTTGACAAGGGTGTCTACTGACGGGACGAGTGTTGAATTCGTAGCCAATGAAGTCAGCTTTCTTGTACCAATTGATGAACGTTCTGGCAGGCTGTTCTATTTCTCGGGGAGAGAAAATGCCCCGGAATATTTGAACCGCATAGCCCCATGAAACAGATACAGTCCAGGATCGGGTCTTGTCGTAGCAAATGGATTGTTGAACGAGTCCGGCCGGGTCGATCTTCATGGGAACGTTAAGCCTTTGTAGGGCTTGGACTCGGTCCATGTTGGGGAATATAGGATCAACGACATCTAGGTGGTGAAGTGACACAAGGGGCGCGACCGGATGAGCTGCTAGGAGTCCGAACACGCTCCCATATACATCAAACTAACACAATTCCACAAATGAAAACAGAAGTATGAATGATCAAATAAAAGACTGGTCTAAAATTGTTCAAATGTACACACATTATTTGAAACTTGAAATGATCAATAATTCACTATTTTATTAGGAATATCGAGTGTCACCCACCACGATGACTTTGCACTATGGTCATGTGCTCATGATAAATTTTATAGGCCCATGTAGGTTCATCATCAATTTCACCGATATTGTTCTAACTTAATCACTTATTACTAGGTGTTGTGTTTTATTACCAAAGACCTCGGTGCTATTAGAGGTAGAAACTCTCACATATTAACTATATATTATTTTGTCATATAACCGATGTGAGATTCTATTTTTCACGGGTCATGCAACTCACGTTGGAAATTTGTGTACAATCAATTGAAATAAGATTATGGTTCAAAAGGAATTCCAAAGGATTAGGTAACAGGAGTCCATGTGTTTAGTGAATCATATAAAGACACCACAAAAGGCATATGCAACATAAGTCAACAGTCAATTATATATATTATTGGACGGTGGTAGACGAAGTACTAGGTCACCCAACGCCACCAACAAATTCCAATCATAGTTTATTCCGTTCCGTTGGAAAGGAAAAATAAACAATACGTAGTAAATTAATTAAAGTGAATGTCGAACTCTTGATCTAATCTAATCCGACACTTCACATACTTCTTAGTTTTTTGATATAAATAAGTTGAAACAAACTCTTGGAGGAGTGGAAGTAACGTTAAGAATGTGTAATCCGAAAAGAAACTAACCATTAATTGATGATTAAGCCTTATGAACTAACAAAAGGGTTTAAACAGAAACGTTTTGATTCAACCATAAATTTGTATTTTTTCACAAACAAAAAAGATTAGCAATTTCGACATTTGTAATTATTACACCAGTCCAAATCATCAAGAAAACATGCCATAGATTTTTCTTCACCTTTCTCTATTTTCTCAGTAACCAAACAAAAAAAAAGAAAAGAAAAGACAGTGACATTAGACTAACCTGGTGAAACCCTTGTTCTTTGGTTAGAGGAACACCAAGCTCAGCCATACAAGCCTGAAGCCTATCATCCGAGCCGTACAATCCAGTATACCGAGCAATGCACTTGTCTTGCATTTTCTCTAGGGCTCTGGCTAGAGGGTAACTTATAGCAATCCCACCTCCTCCATAAGCCATATTATGTGAAAAATAAATGTTCTGCAAGTGACTCTCCGACGAGCTTCCGATGTAATAAAATTGGTTATGGTCATATTTCTGCAAAACCTTAACCAGATTTTCAGGAACAAAAACTGTGTCATCATCCCCCATCACAAACCACCTAACATTCTCCATGCCTTGCCTGAAATTCTCCGTAACAATACGTGACAAGCGTATGGCTGACTTGTGGCCTTTACGGTGAGTGTATGCAAACTTGGAAGTGTCACTAGATATCTTTATTGGCGGCAAAAGGTGTTCATCCTCCGGTTCAACTTTTACTGGCTGATCCATCCAAACATTGCCTCTCATTTGGTCCGGCCTCCACCATAGCTTCACGTATTTTTTTCTACTTCCCCACAGATTGGCCGAGGCTGCAATGCCAAACACTATGTGGGATAAGTTAGTTTTGGGCTCTTGGGGTTCCAGGGTTGCCTGTGCCCGTGGGGATATCGGCTGAGATGGGGTGGCGGGAGCCTCGGATTGGAGATGGGAGGTGACAGAATATTGTTCCCTACAAAGATTGGAAGGTAAGACAGATTTTAGAGAGTAAGAGATATAGGTGAAGGAGATCACAAGCAAGAAACATATTGTGATCTTGGTGGAGGTCCATGGGTAGAGGCTTTCAGCTGGATCTTTCAGATTGATTTTCATGACGGAGAGAGGCTCAAACGTTTGGGTTTTGGTTCACAATTTCTAAGAGAGTAAAGAAGAAACGAGAAGAGGAAGTCACATATTTTGATCGATTTTTCTAACTTGGTAGAATTTTAAAGAGCAACAAAAAGCAAGAGTTGGACGGTCACAGTCAACTAGCTAGTAGATAATTGAGGCCATGTGGTTGGTCTATCTGGAAAAGAAATCTAAGGACTGCTAAAACACGAGAGCGTAACCTATATACAGAATGATATATCATGTGTCATTATACAAATAGTTAGATATGTGTGCTAAAAAATTAATAACTTAAAAAATAAAATTTCCTACCACTTCTATTAAAACATGTGATGTACAACTTATATTCCCGTCACAATGAAAAATTTCTCATAAAACACGACTTTTGTTCATAATCTCCGGCGGATTTCAATATACTTTTGGTTCACTTGAAAAAGGTTTTTGACTTTATTATGCCATGGATTTTATTGGTCAAATAGACATCTCACTTTCACACTTTATGTCTTTTTTTGGTCTAAATATTTATTTATTTTATAGGATATTTCAAATAAATGCTCTTAGTATTTGAGCTATAAGTTTTTTTTTACAGAGTTAGTAAAAGTTTTCAGAATTCATATATATTTTAACTTTTTTTTGTTACTCATAGATTTTATCCTGATAGTAAGTTAATATTTCGGTTGATAAGTTGAAGTAATGTATTATACTGGTTGATAGGGTGATAGAGTTCAAGAGAATATCGACCGGAGATAATCTTCTGTAGGACTAAAGGTTAGGTATTTTACCTCACACTGTAATCAGGTTAGGAACAACATACTATAAGTATATAGCTAGGTCTACCTCTCATCTCTATTCATATATCACTACACCTAAGTATACTTCTTCATCGGCAATTTTCAAACGTTTTCACTTTCGTCATTAATCACGTTATAGATTAGCTTATATGAGAACGAAGGGTCTTTATCAGTCATCAAGTCATTGCATCTACGAAAATGTAGAGTCAAATTTATAAAAAATATCAAAGAGTAACTACACAAATGACAACTCTAAAGTAGGAGATTTGAAATTATTCACATATGAATACGTTTGCATGAGAACAACAGCGATAATTTGGAAATATGGTACAACTTACCTACAATGATCTAATGTAAAGATCCTAAACCGTTAAATGAATAGGAGAGAATAGTGTTACTCAATCCGACAATCTCTTTACAATATATAATTACAATCTATATGGCCATGGACCTAATTATTCTCTTTGTACTTTAGAAAGTGAGGTGGGGGTGGGCTAGATATTGGTGATTCCCTGGCTGCTCCGTTCTCAAGGCCGCAAAAAATGAAGCTGTTCTGGTTGTATGTAATAAAAGCTGAGGAAAGCCCGCCGTCAGTCCTAGTGGCTCCGATAATAGAAATTAAAGTACAAGGTTTTGGCTGTGAAATAAAGCTAGCTCAGACATCGAATGTTTGGATAAAAGACCTTATCATATTTGTGAATGAGTGGTCTTTTGGGAAAATAAAAAGTTGCTAAGGTATGATAAGGTAAGGTGGTATATTTTTGTCCCTATCTCACAAGGAGCACTGTATCTCCGGTGCTTTCGCAAAAAACTGGCTTTTTTTCAAAGCAGCAAAGTGTTATGAAAGCGTGGCGAGATGGTGCGCGTGTTTACTGCGCGGTGGAATAGTTGTTCAACCCTTATCTTTCATAGCTAGGTTCAATTTCCAAGAGTAGGTATGCCCTTTGTGTGCGAGATTGGATAACTCCTAAAGACGACGAAAGAAAACCAGTGAGACCACTGACGAGACTTATTTTGTTACGAAACGAGTTGGGTTTTGGATAGTGTTTAAGAATCGAGACGGGGGAGGGTAAGGTGGCTAAATCCCACAAACGAGGGCCATTAAGGGGTTCAATTCTCGTGAATAGCGAGAGTAATCGGATATTGAAGACATTTAGGCTGACCAGCTAGATGGCTTTGTTGCGAATATTAGTTGAGGGCCGAACTCCCCCCTCCCCCATGTGTTAATATCGATGTACTAAAAAATGTATAGATATATATATATATAAAGAAGTCGGTATGGTCCAGAAGAAGTACCGAAAGAAGAATGTAGGAGTAGAGGGCGATGTGATTCTCAGAGAGCAACTAACCTGCTGGAGAGGTACTAGGGATGGACAACGGTTTATGGTCACTCGAGAGCGGGTAACCAATGAGAGCGAGCTCTGCATACTTATACCCAGAAGCTATTAGTGTTGGCAGTGTGTGCTGACACTACCATTAACGCGCGTGTATACCCCTGCAAAAATTCTAGAAGAGTATAAGATTTATCATCGTTAAATGGTTTTTTAAATATTGGATTTCCTTACAATTATATGGCCATAACCGTTTATAGGATAAATTACGATTGTTTCGATATTGTTGAGAGAACCAATACGCCATGAGACAAGCGGGCACACTGCGGACGAGCAATGTAGTAGCCAGATAGGGAAGCAACGTATAGGTAGAGGGTGTACACCCATTTAACGCAGTGAACACATCTTGAACCGGAAACGGGACCGGAATCGCATGTTCCCGTTCTGCGTTTGGTACGCCGATGGACTTTGGTCACGAGAACGATTGTTCCGTCCTGCGTTTTGGTAGCGCGCCAGTTGGACGGAATTACGTGAACTCATATTTAATTATGACTCCACCAACATTTAAAAATACCTTTTCATTGCTGCCGTTCTCTCGTTATTGCGTAGCCTCGTATTTGTACGTCACACGCAACTTTAAACTAATTTTATCATAGTTTTTCAGCGCTTTTTTTTTTTTTCTGTTCTAAGTTGTTCAAACTATGACAGCTACTAATCAAATTTTTCCTATAGTAATTATGAATATTATATTTCTTGGTCCAAAAGAAATAATTTTATATATGGCATAAATTTTTCTTATTCTGACTATTTGTATATGTAATACCACACACCTGAACACGTCTATACTTTAAAATTTGTAGTATATTTAGCATACATTTTCCCTATTTTATAATAATTTAAGTTTCGAGTAAAATTTTATTTGAGTAGTTACTCCCCTGTACGATTATTTAGGCCACGTTTCAATTGACATTTACAACCAAATAATCAAAATTCATCACCATAAATTAGAAATCATGTTCTATAAACTTTCAAATACAATATAACTAAGTGAAATCAGTCTTTCAATATATATAATGAAGGCACACCATACTACGTTTGAGATATTTATGTCCAACCTCCATGTTTTAGTCATGTTAAAGAAATATGAAACACTAGACGTTGTACATATAAATAGTGCCATCAATAAATCTCTTGTGCGTCGATCGCTCGAGCAGCTAGCAAACCGAAACAAGGAGCAAAAAAAATAATTTTTTTTAATTTTTTTTTATCTAATCTTCTAAATATTTAAAAAAAAAAAAAAAAAAAAAAAAAACCTGAAAGCTTTACCCGCAACCCCCAAAACCAGAAACCAATTAATCCCAAACCCACCTCCCCATTAATCCCCCCAGAAACCTAGCGCAGACAAACCTCCTCTCTCCCGGCCCCACCCTTCAACATTTCTATGGATTATTCCCAACCGAACCAGTGAATGGCCAACCGCTAAGTCATAAATCCACCGTCTCAGTTTCCCTAATGGAGGACGCATAGGCCGGAGCAACTCTCACTCGCCCTATCAAATCCCGAATCTCTTCCAAAACGTTGATCCCTTCCTCGACATCTGACAAGCACCAATCGCACATAACCGTTAAAAGTTTCACCACATGATCCGAGGTAGTAAACCGATTGCACAGCACTCCTTGTATGCACACTGTTCGCCACCTCACCCTTCCTCCTCCGATGCGTGATGCACCCACCTTGATAAAGTCCGATTAAATGTCTTATCCATTCCCCCCAATACACGCACGACATCACGCCTTTTAAGTTTCTCTCGTGCGGGACAAACTACAGAATCCTATTATCACCACACACAAGTTCACGACATCCAATCACTAAAAAAAGTCATTTCCTCTGTCAACCAACCACTAATACCGATTTGACACATGCCACAGTCGTCCTCAAATTACTTAACCTACTACTCAGCCTCACTTCTCAAAACCTAAGAGAAGCTCGAAGTTTGAGATTCTAATTCGCGGGAGATGTGGTGGAGTAAAGGGTGGTCAAGCTAGGGATTACAATCTAAATGCACACTCACGAAAAAGAGAAAGACACAACACATATAAGAAAATGTCAAATACGAAATTCTGTGGCATCTAAGTGTTTGGCGAGGGGGGTGGTGGCGACAGGAGTATAATGGGCGATATTGGTAGGGGTGTCGGATCGCAGTTCAGAGATGGTTCTTGTAGAACTGGACAAGAGGGCGCGTGAGTGTTATATGTTAGGCGATTCAAGAGAACTAAATTATCTGAGGACTGAGGGTTCTAAAGACAAGGATGAGTGAGAAGGTACATGGACCATGAAGGAGAGAGAGCAGATGGTATATTAGAGGAGATTTGAAGTCTGTCTTGGAAGCTTCTTGCGAATATGATATATGATACGGGAAGAGCAGTTGCTGCATGGATTATCTATTGTAAGATCAGGAGCGCATTGTTATTGGGTTTTCTTGCTTATAGTTTAGAAGCTCGCATTTGAGTAGGAATAGAGAGAGAACAAAAAAACGACGCTACAGTCATAGTTTGTGGAAGTGTTGTGATGAGAAAGCGCATATGAGGTAGGGGTTGTGCTTGACCGGTATCCGAAAAGGACAGACATTTGCGTAGATGTGAAGTGGGTATGTTTGAGGATCACTAGCAAGAGCGAGAGTGTATCTCTTGGGGTTTGACGAGAGAGAAGTGACGTGAGAGTGGGTACATGAGGGTCGGTAGGAGGTAAAGGGGTTACTCAAAAAGGAACCCAGGAAAATATACTCAGACTGGGCTTCGAAAGTTATACACTCGAGGTAACAAGGTGCTCCACTATGAGCAGCGGATGTAAATTTATATGGTATCGCCACGTGCAAGTTTTCCGCGTGCTCCGGTCGAGATACTGCAAATGGAGTCTACTTAGTTGCACTGATGGCTCTCCTT